AGTCGAAGGCTTCCTCAAAAGCATGAAGATATTCTGGCAATTTCACACACAGTTCTGGTTTTGTTTCATGGTAATGTATGAGAACATAAATCTCCCAGTTGTAGCATGAAGCTGCTTGTTGGTGTGAAAATACTATGCATTTTCTGTTTTGCCATCAGGCATCCAAAAGCACTTGGTGGGTGGGGGAGGGCCCAGATATCCAAAAACGTTTATTGTTGATATTGATATAACTACACTCGTGTAACGATTGTGTGTTTTTGTGATAGGTAGTACAATAAAGCAGATATCATAGCATAGCCTAAAATGCTATTATTTATACGTATCTATATATACGTGTAACACATATAACAGCTATATTTATCAACGCACACCAGCAAAGTGATTCCAGAAATAACCATACATAATATATCAACGTCACTCACTCTGACTAAACTGGAATCACCATTGAGTTTCTGAGATGCTGATCTACCATGGTGCTACAGAGCTTGCTCTTGACAAACTTCAGTGCAGAGAAGAAGCACTCGAAAGAATAAGATGTGACTTACAGAGCTAGAATCAAGAGATTAAGAGAGTTCAAGTTTGGGTTCATCTTTGCAACTCTTTCCTCTATCACGTGTAAGTAAATCTGTTGAATTCCTTACGGTTTTATATACTGTATGACTTCTACAACTGATCTTCAACAGCTTGTATTCCCAAATACTTGATTTGCCTACAAAGAAGGCTTGCAACATCGGAGCTTCTCTGCATTTGTAGACACTCAACAATCAATGAACATCAAGAGAATGAATAAGTTTTCAGAAAACGACTTCTTAGAACATTCAGCATCAAATTTAACACTCCATAAAAGAATGTGACTCAGTAATGGTCTTTACCAGTTAACATGGTTCCAAAGAATACAAAGTGACTGGACACTAAAGGGTTAAGTCGTCAATAGAGAATGGAGTTTAATATCATCAAAGCATTTCCAGTTCATAGTATAACTTGTGGTGTTACGATATAACTGTTTTGGGGGACTAAAAAGGTTATATGTATTATTTACGGTCAAACAAACTGGGTCACATGTAATGTGGTTGAATAATTCTCCTTCGGTTTCACTCACGAGTTCTTACAATTATATTAGGTCGTCAAGAAATTAATGTCGCGTTTTAGAACACTTTCATTACCCCCTCCCCAAACCATACATCATGTATGATAGTTAAATGAACTGCCTAAATGTCACGCTAGTGTAGCCTATATAATGTGTAAATTTTAGTATACTCTAATCCCTTATAGTGATGGCACACGACGAGACACACATTCGACATGTAATGCTGTTTGAATACAAGAAGGGAAACAACACCTCTGTAGCTACAAAGAATATCACAGAAGTTTATGGAAATGTTTTAAACGTTCGTAAGTGTCAACGATGGTAAAGCAAATTTCGTTCAGGTGACTTTAGCTTTAAAAACTGTGATGGCAGGGGGCCCACATGTTGGAATT